AAATTTATTTTTCTTGGATGTACACCTTTTTTTTCTTCTTTCTACTATTTTAACTGAAATTAGAATGACTAATGTTCCATAATTGGTATAGTTTACAATGAATATTGACCTAATGGACTTGGTTGCGAAATGTTTGTCTTCCAGATTCTTTGAATATAGTTGAAATTATGATTTCCCTACTTTATACTGGTTATAATAACAAAGGTTTATTTTCCTACAGTTGCCTTCTCCCTCTCCTCTCAAATTGAAAATTGTCATGTTTTGATTGGTAGGCTTTATAAGCAGTCTCTTCTCTTCAGATGGGTCAAAGACAATCAAACCATATAATGGGACTGTATGCTTCGGTAGGTCTGGTTCAAAGGGTATTATCTTGAGAAGAGAGATTGCTAGAACAAAGTAGAATTTAAAAACCTGGGCAGACTTCAGATGTTGTGTGGTTTTTTTTTTTTGTTTTGTTTTTTAATAGAAGCTGATTAATTTATTCAGATAGGAGTTCTTTAAATTCCAGACTTTACTATTCTCTATTTTTTTTTAATTTAATGGTAATTTTAGAAAATTTGAGGTAGAATTATCTGCTAATGCTTTTTTTTTTTTTGATGGTTAAAAAAATTTGGGTTTTTGTTTTTGCTAAACAGTGCTAAATTTTTTTTATTTTGAAGGCAGGGATGGAATTATTAATTTTGATCCATTTATTTAATTTTTAAAAAGGGGGAAAGAGATCATGGCCTAAAAAAAATAGTAGTTAACCCCCACTTCACCCTTGAAGTTCTAGTCAGTTACATGAGCATCACCACTTTCCACTCGGAACACACTATTCATATGATGCCCCATTGGATCACCCTGAAGGCACAGGGCAATGGGTACTAGTTTTAGCTCTCAGCAGGTTATTCAAACTAGGTAAATTGATGGGCTAAAGTCCAGAAATTCTTTTTTCCGTCCTGTTAATCCTTACCCGAGATATGTGTATATACATATATATATGCCAGATTATTATGACCACCTGATGTTTGTAGGCAAATTAGCTATAATTTTGCGCTGAAGTTGCCAGAGGGCCAGACCATTATAAATAGGGAAGCAGGTTGTTTACCACGACAGTAGAAGTGATTTTTTTCTGAAGACATGGGTGAACAATGCGATTTAACAGCCTTTGAACGTGGGATATATTTGAACGTAAGTGGCCAGATTATTATGACCACCTGATGTTTGTAGGCAAATTAGCCATACACTGCATCATATGGGATATGGAAGCCGAAGGCCTGTTCGAACACCTTTGCTGTCTGCAGTTACCAAGATAAAATGTCTCCAGTTCGCACAGAAACACAAGGAAGGAGTGGACAGTCGAGCATTGGAAAAAGTCATGTGGTCCAATGAATCACGTTTCCAGTTGCATCATGCAGATGGCAGAGTGAGAATTTGGCGGAAACAGCATGAAAGCATGCACCCCACATGCATGAGTACAACCAACCCTTCAAGCTGGTGGGGGCAGTGTTATGGTTTGGGGCATGTTTTCCTGGCATGATTTGGGCCCTTTAATTCATGTGGAACAATGTCTGAATAGCACAACATACCTAAGTATCGTTGCTGATCAAGTTTATCCTATCATGTTGATGGCGTATCCCAACAAGACAATGCGCCATGCCACAGTGCTCGTATTGTGCAGGAGTGCTTTCAAGAACATGAGGGAGACTTTACCTTGCTTGGGTGGCCCCCACAATCACCAGATCTCAATCCAATTGAGCATTTGTGGGACGAAGTTAAAAGAGCCATCAGGCAGCTGGTTCCACAACCATCAAATCTCACAGAACTGGACAGTGCTATTCATCAGGCATGGTGTCAGATTCCTCACATCACCTTTCAACATCTCGTGGAGTCAATGCCAAGAAGAATCGCCGCAGTATTGAAGGCAAAAGGTGGCCCAACGAATTACTGATGGGGTGGTCATAATAATCTGGCCACTCAGTGTGTATATATATATGTGTGTATATATATATATATATATATATATATATATATATATATATCCCATGTTCAAAGGCTGTTGAGTTGCGTTGTTTACCCATATCTTCAGAAAAAAATCACTTATACTGTCGTGGTAAACAACCTGCTTCCCTATGTATAATGGTCTGGCCCTCTAGCAACTTCAGTGTGAAATTATAGCTAATTTGCCTACAAACATCAGGTGGTCATAATAATCTGGCCACTTACTCTGTGTTTGTGTGTGTGTGTGTATGATTAATCAATAATATTTTTATTGATTTCAGAGAGTAAGGGTGGGGGAGATAGAAACATCAATGATGAGAGAGAATCGATTGGCCGCCTCCTGCATGCTCCCCACTGGGGATCGAACCCATAACCCGGCATATGTCCCTGACCGGAATCGAACCCTGATCCCTTCAATCTGAAGGCCAACGCTCTATCCACTGAGCCAAACTGGGTAGGAGGAGCCTGTCACCAAGGTACATGCCCTTGAGCGGAATGGAACCTGTGACCCTTTGGTCTGCAGGCTGACTCTCTATCCATCGAGCTAAACCGGCTAGGGCTGTCCAGAAATTCTTTTCAGAATTTCTGTCCATTGACCCCATACAAAGTGTCAGAAGCCTATTAAAAATTAAGGGGGTGGGCGTGGGGAAGGCCGTAAGAGGAGGAGGTTGGCAGAAGAGAAATTGTATAGGTCACTCAAGCTTTCTTCTGGGCTAGTGACTCTGGATATAGCCTTCAAGAGAGGTTGGGATACGTGGACTCTAGGTTTCTGATGAAAGAAAATCATCCCTTAAAGAGGAGCTGAACTGTGCCATGCAGAGAAGTTCTTGCAGAGGGCACTGGGGAAAGGGCAGTTGATCCTCCCATCTAGGAGATAGGAGGTTCTCCGAGTACCTTGAAGTAAGATGGAATGCTGATGGAGAATCCCGAGGTTTTGGCCAAATGTGAGACTGGTACACACATACAAACTGAAAAGCCATCAGGAACACCCAAAGCCAACTCACACCTACATTTATTGGCTCTGCAAAGTGCTGCCAGAGATTCTTGCTGTCTATTAGTAAGAAGCAGAAAATACTTAGAGAACATTCAAAAATCTCTTTCCAAAGATTATATATTAGAAGTTAAGGAAAATAAAACTGATTCAAGCCATACCCTGTGTAAAAAAAAGAAAACAAAGAAAAATTTAAAGTGAGACCTCTGTCTGCTGCTCTAGTCTCAACTTAAGTATCACAGTCAGCTTGTTACTTTTATTTTAGAAGAGAAGATGTAAAAGTTTCATTCATTTAGAAGGCAAATTATGCCAATGAATGAAATTTGTGCAAGAGTAGGCCTTCCTTCCCCTGGCTCCTGGCACCAGCTTTCCTTTGGCACCCGGGACCTGGGCTTCCCTCGCAGCCCTGGCTTTATCTGGAAGGATGTCTGGTCTAATTAGCATATTATGCTTTTATTATCTTATCGAATAAAGAGGGAATATACAAATTGACTGTCACACCATAACGGTCAAGATGGCTGTGCCCACAGCGGAGGCCGAGTTCTTGTAACGGGCCTTAATGAGCAATCAACAGGGACCTGAGGCTGTGTGGCGCTGGGCTGAGGAAGGGGACCTGAGGCTGCACCCCCTGCCTGGTGGGGCTTGACAGGGGACCTCAGGCTGCGCTCTCTGCCCAGCAGGGCTTGATGGAGGACCTCAGGCCACTCCCCCTGCCTCAGTGCCGGGCTGGGGGACCTGAGACTGCACTCCCCCCGGCCTGGATGGGCTTGATGGGGGACCTCAAGTCGTGTGCCCCGGCCCAGGCTGGGGGACCTGAAGCTGCCCCCCTTGCCTGGCGGGGCTTTATGGGGGACCTCACACCGCGCTCCCTGGCCCGGGCTGGGGGACCTGAGGCTGCACCCCCCACCCGGTGTGCGCCGGGAGACCTTAGGCTGCCCCCCTGCCCGGCGGGGCGTGATGCGGGACCTGAGGCTGTGGTCCCCACCTGGGGGGAGGGGCTTGACAAGCGTGGGGCCGGCTGGATCTGGGTCTTGCACGATTTTGAGGCGCTGTGGGTGTGCGGGGACTTGACTCTGGTTCCTGCAGTGTGCCCCAGACTCTGACAGGAGGAAGATTTTTATATACATTTTACTAATTTTTTTTTCATCTCGACACTTCTATTATAGAGAAAGGGCAAATAGCAATAGTAAAATATTTCCTCTAATTCAGCGGTTCTCAATCTGTGGGTCGCGGCCCCTTTGGGGGTCGAATGACCCTTTCACAGGGGTTACCTAAAACCATCGGAAAACACATATATAATTACATATTGTTTTTGTGATTAATCACTATGCTTTAATTATGTTCAATTTGTAACAATGAAAATACATCCTGCATATCAGATATTTACATTACGATTCATAACAGTAGCAAAATTACAGTTATGAAGTAGTAACGAAAATAATTTTATGGTTGGGGGTCACCACAACATGAGGAACTGTATTAAAGGGTCATGGTATTAGGAAGGTTGAGAACCACTGCTGTAATTAATCCCCCTTTAATGTGCACAAATTTTGTGCACTGTGCCACTAGTTATAGATAAAGGCAGGAGCAGACTAGGAAAGGAAAATAACTTTGGATTCAGTTTCACCAGTGCTGAAGAATTTTGAAATTATTTGAACTTGGTCAAGTTAAATGGAATGATATATTTTGGAATAAAAGGTAATAAATTAGCTGGGTTTAAAAAAATACAAAAAACATGTGAGATAAGTATCTGTCTTTCTAAAATGTAGGCAACTTTAAAGGATTCTGACCCCAACCTTGCCAGGAATTTCTTCCTTTTTCCTGAAACAATATTTTAAATATTTATTATGAAGTTTCATGTTAATAGTTCCTAAAAAAAAAAGGTAAGAATTTGTGTTCCTGTTGTCCCCCCACTCCACAAAGTAAAAGTATTTTTTCATTGTGAGTAAAAGGATTGTTGTTGTTCAAGCTTCCTTACTGAACACATGTGCTTTATTTTTCTTTTGTTTGTTTCTCTTTAAATGTCAAGGCACCTCCTTCCATGGTCAACAATGAACAACGCCAGCATGCAGAGCACATATTCTTATCATTTAGGAAATCGAAGTCACCATTTGCAGTTTGCAAGCATATTTTGGGTAAGTATTCACTTTAAAAATATTTTTGCATAATCACTTCTAATTTTTCTCTCCTTGAATGTTACATATTTTAAATTCCTAATAAAATAAGCAGGTTTGTATAGTTATAATTTTTTTATTAATAATCATTCTCTGAAGTGGCTTTAAAGATATCCCATATAGCCAGACAGAAAACTTTTTTTAATTTTGGATTTTTCTCCCTTAGATATAGTGTTTAATAATTTTTTTTATTATGGACCATAGCACGAAGGCTGTTAAGAGTGGGGGAAAAAGTCTAATATTTTTTTAATTGTTTTCAAGTGTGATGTCATTTATTATAGGAAATGTACTGTATATTATCTCAGTGTTTTAAAATTCAGATTTTTTTGGAACTTTCTACATTTTCTTTCAATTGTGTTTTTTTTTTCATAGTTTTTGTTTGTTTGTTTGTTTTTTTTAAGCCCTGTAGTTTGTACTCAGCTTGCTTAAATGACTATTAGTTCTGTGTAGGTTATCACTGTATATCCTAAAATGAAGCATTGATTTTTACACTTGTAATGTATTATGAATACCTTATATCTGACATATGTACAGAAATGATCTCTTTCCAAAGATGGTATTTTTTATATATATAGTCTTCTGCCTCTTAGATATTTTATAACCTTGTTATACTGGCTCTCTTTTTTTTTTTTTTTTTTTAAATTGGAACCATTTTTGTCCCCCAGAGTTAAGGCTCTGAAATGCTGAGTTATCCAATGATCACAGAATTGGCTAGTTGAGAATTAGGAACTAAAATATCTGACCTTTTATTCTTGTTCTTTGACTTATCTGTTAGCCAGCAGATTGAAATCGCCTACAATGAAAGTTATAATGTTAAAAAAATACTCTACAAATACAGGGTTATGAATTAGAGTTGTTAGATTGATTGGGTTGGAAATGCTCTGGTGCAGGGACTGTTGAGGTCCCAGCTACAGTGGTGCCTGCTGTATGTGGTCACCTTGAGGAGTCACTTACCCTCTCTGAGCCTATTCTCACCTGTGAAATGGGAATAGTGATATCATCTTCCTTCATGGATTTGGCTTTGTTAAGTTGTGAGGTGCAAATGTAGTAACAATGTAGAAAAGCACTCTGTAAACACTCAGGTAAATGTCATGATCCCATTACCTTATTAAAAATATGATAAGCTTAAAAAATGCTGTTTTTTGTTTGGGAGGAGCTAGCAGTGGCAGTGAATTGGCTCTCTCCCACTCAGGAGTTAGATCCCACCGTTAGAGGAGAAGCTTTAATAACCACCTTTTAAATTCCAAATGAGGAAGTTTTGAAAAAATTTTTGAGTGTTAGTGGTGAGTTTGTTTCTGGCACTGAGATAATTTATTTTATGCCTGTGGAGAATATTTAACTCAGCATTAAATTAAAAGAAGCAAAACTAAACATCAGCCTTCAGAATTTAATGGAGACTTACTTCATCCTTACTGCCTGGAAATTGCTCAGCATTAATAGATTTAGAAAACCATTTTGTTAAATAGCACCTAAAATAAACTGAGATTAGTTTTCTTCATGGCAGGTGCCATAACTACATTAACTAGAGTTCTTTAGTGTTTCATTTAACTTTCTGTTACAATTCAGTCGTCATTCTTTACTAGTCGGGAAGTAGTTGATCTAAGTTATAAGTATTTTATTAGAGTGTATTTGCTTATACCGCTCTTTTTTCGAGTATGTGTATTTATGAAGTATTGTTGCTTTGTTATGTTTGAGCTTGTTTTGGAAAACTTGTTTTTCTGATAAAAATTTCTAAAGAAGGATATTGCCAATTCCAGCCGTGCTTCTAAAATCATTTTGGGTTTTGAGACATGAACTATTTTAAAAGCCTGAGTGCATGTATTACAGTCATTAATGTACTGCCAAGCCCTGTGTTACATTAATGTTACATCTAAACTTCACAGAGTATCTTTTAACTCCGTCCTCGTCCTCGGTTGCCACCAGCACAGAAAGGTTAATTCCTCTAAGAAGACTTCTCATGCAAGTGGCAGTCAATCACAATTCAGAATTTTCACATTTTTGTCTAGGGATTGTATATCATTTTTGTAGAATGTCGGAGCAATGTATTCTGATAAAAGGGAGACTTTTCTCCTTGATGCTTCCCTTTTCTGGCCTCTTAAAATTCTTCCTTTCCCCTTCTCACTTAAGTTTTATTACATTTCTCATCTTTCCTCATTTCCTGGTCTTACCCTTTTGTTTTCATTCTAGTTTTAATTTTTTTTTTTTTTTGCTCTTTTCTAAAAGTGTGTTTACATACGCTTGTGCATGTTGCATGCTTGTGCATTTTGTCAGAAGAGCATTTCAGACTGCTTCACCTCAGAAGTCTTTGGCATAGGAATTTTTTAGGTTTATGGGATCAAATGTTTCTTAAGAAATCCTGAGTTCTCTTCTTGTTCAAGAACTATTATATTCCCAGACAGTGAGGGAGTCACTGTCTACTGGGGCTTTGTGACATTCTTTTGTCCTCCTCTCAGGGAGAAATTGAATTATTTTATTTGTTACCTCAGAAATAGCCAAAATAAAACAAAATGATGTGCATATGTGTCTATCATTAAGCAGAATTTGTACTTTAAAGCCAGAGAGGTGATTTTCCTCACTGACATCTGGGCTTGACTACTAGGGTTTTCTTAAAAAAAACACAAAAACACAAAACTTTCTTATCGATCAAAATATAGTGTGTACATTTCCTCTCTGACATTTACTTCATTTTAACTTTTGTTTTCATGGCTCTGTCTAGTTTCAGATGGTTGACAAGATACAAATGAATTTTAGTTATGTAATTATTAAAGTTACTGTGGTAGGAAATGAAAGTGTCCAGCTAAAGTGGCCTGGAAATAATTGGTCATCTAGACTGTGCCCTAGTCATGGAAAATTACCCTAATTAGAAATTCTAAATGAATGTGAGTTCCTTGTGAAGACCTGGCCATTTCCAGTATCTTTCCAGCAGAGAAAAATAGGCCTTAGGTACTGTGTGGGTCCTGCTGGCAAGTTACTAGAGTACCTGCAAGCAGCATTCGCACATTTATGTTAGGGGTAAGTGTAGTGTAGGAAGGCTAATAACAGTTTTCATGAGAAAGTGTAATTTATTAGGTTAGAAAAACTCCTTCTTTGAAATTTGGCTTTCTTTTTTCCAGATTCCTCCTTTTGTAGAGAGCTTTTTATGGGGGTAGTAATGCAGAAACTTTCATTTAATACCAAGCAGATGAAAAGAGTTACCTTGAGCCCTGGCCAGGTACCTCAGTTGGTTAGAGCCTCGTACCATTATGCCAAGGTTGGGGGTTCAATTCTCGGTCAGGGTACATATAGGAATCAGTTAATGAATGCTTGGATCGGTGGAGCAACAAATGGATGCAACAGATCAGGTGGATGTTTCTCTCTTCTTCCCTCCCCCTTTCTCTCCCCGCCCCCTCTTTCTAAAAATCAACTTATAAAAAGTCACCTTGGAAACTTTGAATGTCATTCACATTTTATAATTGTGCCTCCAGCACAAATAGAAGTAAGCATATTCCATTGCCCTTGAAGACCAGAAGGTGCTTGTTTGGTCTTACCTTCCTTGGCATGTGCAGTTAGGGCTGGATCAGCATTGCTTAAGGAACACAGCAGCCTTGTGATCTTGGATTTCCTTCTTCATCTCTTGGTGCTTCACTTCCTTTAACTGTAAAATGGCAGGAATTGAACTAGATGATCTTTGGAGTTCTATTTCTAAAGTTCTGTGAGTCCCTACGATTTTGCGTTCTTGTTAAAATCCATGGTTAAGGATTTAAGGTTTTTCTTAAAATTTTTACTGTTGTAATGGAATATGAAGATAGGCAGAAACCATCATTTTGTTTTTAAAAGAGATTTATAATAAGAGGTTATTTGAGTGACCATTATGAAGCAGTACTTCATAGATAAAGCTGGGTTTTGTATCAAATCCTCTTTTAATAAAACACTTAATTTTCTCCTGGAACTTTAAATGCATCTTTTCATTATAAGTTTACATTTTTGGAAGCGATTGCTTTATTTTATTGATTATTTTTTAAGGTTTCTAAATTTTTGTGAGTTTTGATGATCATCTCAATTAGAATTCATGTAAAGATAGCATGGAATAATAAAACGTTGAAAAGAAGGTCCAAATTGGTTCCTCTTATTAGTTTTGGTATTTTCAAAATTGCTAGGTAGTAGTGTAATGTAATAGGGATTTATGTAGGGTATGCCTTTTCTCTCACATTTTTATGGCTAATTGTGTCAAGATCACTTGGTAAGATTTCTAAATGACCTAAACTTGAATAGGAGAGAAAATGGTGTATCTTCATGCTCTTCTGCTAATTTCTTGAAGGTGCCATTGTTTGCCTAGAGTGCATTTCTCTACTCATGTCCAATGATCTTGGCAAATAACCTGCACTCTAATCGTAGACATTTCATGGATTTCACATGATGGTTACTTTTTGGAGCTTCAGAAAATTCCCACTTTTTCTTGACTTTATTTTGACTGTTTCTCCCTTTTGATTATGCTGTTTGAAAAGACTGCAGTTGTATTGTGAATAAAAGAAAAATAGAAAATTAACATAAACATAAAATATTTTTAGGTATGTTAATTTTCTATTGTTTCCCCCCCCTCTGGATTCAATTTTTAGTTCAGATACTATCACTTGCTAGTTAAGGCTGGATCTTTCTAAGTGTAGCTTTGGGATTTTACTCAGTTTGATCAGTATTGCAATCAGAAAATTCACAAGAACTTCTCACCTTGTGTAAATTGATTCCTTTTTTTTTTTTTTACTTTTTTTTTTAATTTGAGAAAAATATCTTAATGGTTGTATTTATTTCTGAACTTACTATTGGAGATGGGTCATCCTGCTGAAAGCTTAATTACTTACATTGAAATATATGTGTATATATATTATTTTGTTAATCTTCACCTGAGAATATTTTTTCCCATTGATTTTTAGAGAGAGTGAAAGTGGGGGGGAGAGAGAAGGGGGGGGAGAGAAAGAAAGAGAGAAGGAGAAACATTGATATGAGAGAGACACATTGATTGGTTGGCTCCTACACCAACTGGGCCCAGGGATCGAACCTGCAACTCAAGTACATTCCCTTGACTGGGAATCGAACCCAAGACTCTTCAGTCTGCAGGCTGATGCTCTAACCACTGAGCAACCAACCAGGGCTACATTGAAATATTTTAACAGTGTGGCTCATCACAAATAGTAATGTTCAAAGACTAGTTTATTAAGGTATTTTGCAGGTCAAGTTCTGTTTTGCACAGGGTGAGAATCTCTTAGGAAGTTTTCTGACTGCTTTATATTTTTATTTTATTTTTTTTAAAGCTGTGTTATTTTTTAGTTCCTCATGCTTTGGAAGTAACAGTTGAAGAGAGGTGAGGAAAGTTTGTGAAAATTGTGATCGGGGATTAGCTGCCACCTGCCAGAGGTGTCTTCTGAGAGGAACTAACCTCTTTGTGGTGCTAGAGCAAGGTCACTGGATTAAAAAAAACAACAGGTAACCATCTTATTCCTTGTCTGAAAAGTTCAATTAATAAATGCAACGTGTTCAAGGGAAGATGAGCTGCTGTTTACAGAAAGAATCTAATTCTTTCCTCAGAAACAAGCAAGGTGGACTATGTCCTCTTTCAAGCTGCCACGGCTATCATGGAGGCAGTGGTCCGAGAGTGGATTCTCTTGGAAAAGGGCAGCATTGAGTCACTGCGAGCATTCCTTTTAACTTACGTCTTACAGAGGCCCAAGTAAGTACACAGAGGAGGTTCTGCTGAAACACTCATGCTAAGCTTATCCTTTTGGAGCTTTTCCTTTTGTTCTTCTTTATTTCTTTTAATGATAGACATTATGGGGAAGCTCTGTGTGGGCCTCGTATTTTAAAAACTCATACACATGGTCCTAGCCCAGCCGTGGGCAAACTACGGCCAGCGGGCCGGATCCGGCCTGTTTGAAATGCATAAAACTTAAAAAAAAAAAAAAAAGACCGTACCCTTTTATGTAATGATGTTTACTTTGAATTTATATTAGTTCACACAAACACTCCATCCATGCTTTTGTTCCGGCCCTCCGGTCCAGTTTAAGAACCCATTGTGGCCCTCGAGTCAAAAAGTTTGCCCACCCCTGCCCTAGCCGGTAGTTGTGTCCTTGTGATTTCTAAAGGCTGGATTGTAAAGTTCAGGGTTATGTTTTCTTTAAGAAACAGTTGTGAAAAGACTGTTAAATCTCTAGCTCCTTGTCTAATGAGCTTTTTTTTAAAAAAAACTTTTTTTATTGATTCAGAGAGGAAGGAAGAGGGGGAGAGAGAGATAGAAACATTAATGATGTGAGAGAGAATCACTGATTGGCTGCCTCCTGCACGCCCCTCACTAGGGATCGAGCCCACAAACTAGGCATGTGCCCTTGGCCGGAATCGAACCTAAGACCCTTCAGTCCACAGGCCAACCCTTTATCCATTGAGCCAAACCTGCGAGGGTTAATGAGCTTTTTATAATGCCTCCAGTTGGGACCAGTACTTCTTCCACCACACTGAGGAACAGATCTCAGAGATGAGATTTTAAAAAAGACTTAAAAATTTGCTTGTTTCTATAACGTTGTGTATTAGATAGCTAGCATGTTGCCTTTCCATGGGAATAGATTTAAGATTATATTACTGCTTGGAGATGGATATTGGGTCAGAATTTTTCTCTTAATTGGTGGAATCTTAATCTGGCTCTTAGTGGGTTGACTTACATGTATCAAACATTGATTGAAGAAACTAATGCTTACATAGTGCTTAGTGTGTACTGGGCATAGTTTTGAGAACATTTAATTCTTACAATAATCCTATTACTGTTGTCCCCATTCCACAGAAGAGAAAACTGAGACTCTGAGTGTTAACTATCTTACCTAGGGTCACATAGCCGGTAGATAATGGACTGTGGATTTGCACCCAGGTCTTCTGGCTTTGGAGTCTATACATAACCACTGAGACGTAAGCAGGGTTATTAGGAGTTCAGGCATAGTGAGAAATTTGGGAGTATTTTCATATTAGAATTATGTAAAAATTTTCACTTTGATCTTTATGTTTTACAGCCTCCAAAAGTATGTTCGGGAACAGATTCTCTTAGCAGTAGCAGTAATTGTAAAACGAGGCTCACTAGATAAGTCAATTGACTGCAAGAGCATTTTTCATGAAGTCAGCCAGTTGATCAGTAGTGGCAATCCCACTGTGGTAAGTATGCTAACTATTCACATTTGTAAATATTTATCTTCCATATTATACAGATTCCATTTCAGCAACGGCTATCTACATGAAAGAAAAAGCACTTTTTAATTGTTCCTATTTTCTCTAGTCCTTTTCATACATGTGTACATACTGTAGATATAGTGTAGTTCGCCTTTTCATTTGATCCTATATTTCCATATTGCTGTAGTATTCATAATCATCATTTTAATGCTGTAAAATATCATAAGCTAATATACCACACTATGCTTAGCCATTTTCCTTCTATTGAACACTTCCTCCATTTTTAATAAACCTTTGGCAGCTACTAGTGAACATGGATATAGTGTTGGTTAGAAACTTTCCTTATAAAGGAGATTTTAAGAGATATTTGAAAAACAGAGATTATTGATGGTTTTCTGTAGGTGAAAGAGGGTTGACCTCATGAGTTAAGTGAGGTCAGACTATATACCTTCGTTGGCCAGAAACTTTGTAGTTTGGCTTTCACTCTTCCCTTTCTAATAATATATTTTTTGTGGTCCATCCCTTATACTAGTCTGTTTAAATAAATTTGGGGCAGTATAGTAGATTCGGTGATTTTTATTGTGGATTAACAATTAGGGGCTGCCCAGCAGAGGAGACAGCGCTCAATGAGTATATTAAGCATTCATCAAGTGTTGATCTCCCCATTGGTATCACCCCTATATTTATATAATCTTATTAGGACATGAATACTACTAAATGATCTCTTGTTCTATCAAATAATATTTTAATTATTGAAAGTCAGAAGGAAGTATTTATGCTATTATTCGTGAGTGAAAACTAATTGTGTATTAAAATTGAAAACCAACTTATTAGCTCTAATTTTAATGCTTTAAGAAATATTTTATAGTCTTGATTCTCTACAGATAATTTTGTGGAAGACTATCTAATTCATAAAATGTTTCCTAAGGATATTATATTTTTTGGACACAGTACAGTTTTCCATTTATGACATGTTCTTAGAGCAAGTGTGCTTGTACAGTTATTAGATAATAGGTTGTTTCATGCCCATTTTTGTGATGGGTCATTTTCCTTCTGTGGCTATAAAGGTTGCTGAGGTTACTTCACTGCAGTTTGCAAGGGTCAGATCTACTGTGTACTAGGTAGAAACTTTAACTTCCTAAGGAAAGGAGCTAAATTTTTTTATTTGAAATTATTATTTAAGCAAAATTTTAATCTATTTCATGTTTGTTTTATTTCCTTTGATAGTAGGCATACATTAAATCACATTTAAAGCTGTGTAATTTAGCCTTTAGTCTCCTTTCTTCCTTTGCCATGTGAGAGGAGTGGGTGAGAAACTGACTTGTCCACAGCAGCACTGTCCTGGGTGTGATACCAGCTAATCTCTCTCATCACAGGCTCATTGGTTAGGGGAGCAGCTGGAAGTCTGAGTGTACGGCAACCTTTCATAAAGTTTATTCTTGGTAATAAAGCTCCTGGGGTAAGAGCCAAGCTATTATAAGAGACAATCCTCTCTCTGAACAAGAGTATTGTATTTTGTCAGCTGGAGTTAGTGTTTGAGTATCTTGTGCTTGTGACAGTAAGCTGGTGAGTAAGGCAAGCTATCTCTTAGGGTATTTTTTCACTGTAATGAAATTAATGGCTTTTAATAGAAATGAGAATGCTGCTATAAGACTTAAATGTGATGACAACAGTTACTTAGTTGTTAGTGAATTAACTTGTGGATTTTTAGTACTTCAGTGAAAGAATAGATTACACAATTTTATAACCTTGAAGTCTCATTGAGTATCTTCTGCTTGTTCTACTTATTTAAATTTTCTTTTTGGAATTTATCAACAACTGAAAATATAGGGAATACATTGTGTATTCATTTTTCACTTCTCCTTTGTATTAATATAGTCTTAGATGTAGAGATAAAGTTGACTCATTAATCCAGATAACTGAGCATCTACTCTGTTACTTTAGTGATGCTCTAGTTATGGTTTTCCCTTATTAATTGATAACCTATCTTGTGATTTTAATTTGGTGTAATGTAGATAATCAAGAAGTAGAATTAGAAAAGCCAAAATAGGTGATTATTTTATATCATGATGATAAAAATCCTGTTGCTTCTTTATCTTATAGGTAACCTGCTGCATTTTACGTGGTACTTTTACCTGCATGACTTAATTTGAACCTTAGGACAATCACATGAATTAGGCAGGGTAGAGGGTGTGACCCCTTTTGTAGATAAAAAGTGAAGCCAAGGCAGAAGTGAGTTGCCCTCAGGTACCTAAAGTGGCAAATCCTGAGCTGTTGTAACCCAGATTTCCCGACTTCTTTTTCTAAACAGGGGGATTCTAGTACTGGACTCCAGAAAGAGTCCTGCAATATTTTTATTTAGAATTTATTTGGATATAGTTTTAATAAATTGTATTACTTGGTTTCTAACTTGTCGGATATAAGAATTATCAATTTAGGATGGCTTGTTAGTGTTGGTCACATTGCCAACAGCATGTGTGACACCAGACCAGGATGACTGAGAAAAACGGGAGTGGTGTAATCCAAAAGCCTGGGCTCTGGTACCACTTGGTCATGGCATGTAAAGCCTGTGCGTTTTAGTAGATTTCAGTTGTTTGCAATTACAACATCAAATAGTGTTTTAGAAATAAGTCTTTTGGAAACATTTACAAGAAGTAAGTTCCGTTAAAAATGTTTGCTGCATTTGGAAAACAAACAGATATTCGCTTAATTCTTTTTTATCTTGGATAAATGAAGCCTTGCTATGCTAACCTTTTATAAGTCTCAAACTTGTATAATGGTATTTATACTAGTTTAATCCCTGTAAACTGTAGTAGACAATCTCATAGTCTCTTCTTTATCAATCAGTCAACTTTAATCAAATTTCTTTGAAATTCACCATTCTAAATTATTTAGAACAGCTTTTGTTTTTGACCCTCTTGAGTATCAGTCACTGTCTCCAGTACAGAAATAATATCTAGCCCTGACTGTGACAAGGGGTAGAGAGGCAGTACTTGAAGATACAATAAAAACTCCATATAATGGACTAATTCGTGTGAGGGGTTTGCCCATTAAAGCTGAAAGTCTGTTATATAACAAAGTAGGTTTTCTGAATTTGTATGTTAAAAAAGTGACAAATTAGTTAGTTTACCTGCCTTTACTTACGTAGACATGTTTGTGTAATAAAATTAAGTATGTATGCCCCTGGCTGATGTGACTCATTGGTTAGAGCATTGACCTGCACATCAAAGGGTTGTGGGTTTGATTCCCAGTCAAGGGCACATACCTGGGTTGCAGGTTCAATCCCCGGCTCTGATCAGGGCATGTGAGGGAGGCAACCAATCCATAATCTATATTTCTCTCTCTTACATTGATGTTTCTCTCTCCCTCTCTCTGATTCTCTCCCTCCGTCTCTTTCTCCCCTCCCTTTCTCCCTTGCACTCTTTCTAAAAATCAATGGAAAAAATATCCTCGCGTGAGGATTAACAAAAAATAACAGTGAATTAATAACAACAAAAAAAACCCCTGTTAACTTAAATATACGCAAATCTTGGTTGAAAGCACTTTAAAATTAACAAAGTGTTAATTTTAATGTGAGACATACGAACCGGAAATTTTGTCTCTTAAATCCGAAGTCTGTTAAATTGAGGCCCTCAAAATCTAGGGTCTACTGGTACAGTACTATTCGGTGGGGGGTTCAGAGGTAATGCACTTGGGCTAACCATTAAGATCTAAGTCTGAAGCAAGCACACAGGAACCTTCTTCTATAGGATAAGAAAAACAAAACACTTGTGACCTCTCATAGGCGAACTGGATGCTTACCCCTTTCCTCCCTCTCTCTGTCCTGAGAAGGAACTGTCTCCTTTTCTCTCTTAGGATTACACTTTCAGTTTGCTTCCCAGCTATTGTAATGCACCTACCATGAGAGTAATTTTGAGGTTTTATGTAATTGATAATTAAATACTGAAAATGTGTGAACACTTTGGGAAATGAGTCTTAGATGCACTGTGATGTGAATTACTCTGTGAATAGCCAGAAATACTCTGTTGATATGTGAAGAGGTGCTTTACTCTCTTAATGTACAATCAATACTTAATCATTCCTTATTCTCCAGGGATTTCTGTTCTTTTGGCACCTTTGAGCATTAGCAGTATAGTATAATTAATGTTTATGATACTGCTCTCAAGTCTTTACAGGGCTTCCAAATTAAGGAGCGATTAAACTGTTTGGTTTCTTTTAATGATGAAAATATCTTATTTAGTTATTTGAAAGCTGGTAATTTTGCGTACATTAAAATCAGAATGTTTGATTTCTGGTAATAACTCTTAGCCACGATGCATAATTTATTTTCATATATTAAGTCTTTGAGTGGTAAATTTGATAAGAACACAGTTGCTTTTAAAAATTTGTGTTTATATTTCATAAATATGAAGAGGAAAAGGAAAATACAAAGCACGACATCTCAGTTGATGGTAATCGTGTGTATTTAATGATACCTGTGCATTAACACATCAGGAAGCTGTGGACAAATGTTAACAGTAGTGGCCCTTGGATGGTAGGATTGTGGGAAATTTTATTCCCTTCTGTGCTTTTCTGTACTTTCTGGTTTTTAAAAGAAGATGATACATTATTTTTGTAGGAAGAAAAAGGTTTATTTGCATTACGCTTATTAATTTGTGTAGTTATTCAGTGTCTGGTAAGTTAATTTATTTTAAAACAAAATGTTCAGAAAGCTAATAAGTCTGTAATAAGAATGTATTTTGTTTTGGTTATCATGGGTTAAGAATGTACTTGCTTTTATGGGTGAATTAGTACTTTCTTAGAGTAAAAGGTTGCTGTTTTAGAGCAAGCTTGTCAAACTCAAAGGCTAACACAGGCCAAATAAACACGGTTTAAGTTTATGTGGGCCGCAAAAAAGCAAAAGCTTTAATTTTCATAGAAACATAGATTTATTTTGATAGAGACATGCTCACGACAAAGGGCTGAAATAAATGAGTGATTGTTAACATAAAATAATAGAACATTTTAATAAAAATTAATATTTTCTTGAGCATTAACTTATCAGACACTGAATAACCGCACAAATTAATAAGCATAACGCAAATAAACTTATTTTTCTTGTTCTCCGAAAGCAAAATATTTCCTGTTGCTCACACCAAACAAGTCAGTCCAAGACTAATGACATGGCAATTGGCTGCTAAAAGATTCACTGCTGGTATTATCGGAGAGAAATGGTGCACCCGCGCATAAGGCTCGTAAGGGAAATGAATGCAACACGATTATAGTAATCAGTCATTAGCAAACGTTGTAGTTCGTTATTAATAATTATGTATAACAGAATGTTGTAAAAATTAAGACATTTTTATTAAAATGTTTCTTACATACCGTTACATTGGCTCGGCCGCAAAAATATTTGTTGTGGGCCCCATGCGGGCCGTGAGTTTGACATGCTTGCTTTAAATTGTAAAATGGAATGAGTGTGCAATGAACTGTTCTCTGTAAGAGAAGGCAGTTAAACTTGTACACTTCTCTAAATGACTTAGGGAAGAGGGACATATTTATATTAAAACAAATGTATATTTTGAGGTAAAATTACAAAGTGTGTGGTTTGTGTTTAAGTGGGTTCAGAGTAATTTATCCTTCTTGAAAGCAGTTTGGTCTGTCCCCCTGATTCTTGACAAATTTGCATATGTTTTCTGTTGTTAGGGTTTCCTGGCATGGAAAAGTGTGAGAAACTGTTGTAATGTATGGGCTAGTAGGCCATCTGTAAATATCAGTTATACATCATGCTTATTTTAGTTGAGATTAAGAGGCCAATAGTAACTTAATTCTTTTTACATTTTCTAAGAGGAAAATTTCAGACATATGCAAAAATAAACAAGAGTGTATTGGTCACCCATGTAACCATCATTCCAATAAATATCAACTCATGGCAATATTTGGGAATTTAATTTTATTTATATTTGCTAAGATTTGCCAAGATAAGCATCTGTAAGGTCAAGGTACCCACATCACAAGCATTTCTGAACAAAGATGTGGCAGTTAGTGGGTGGGATGACTGTTCAGCTGTTCTGTTGGCTTGCATAAATAGTATCATCTTGACTTTAATCTTTGGTTATTCAGAGGTAGTGAGCATATTTCTGTGTAACCCCTGGAAATGTGCCAAAATAATTTGTATCCTCTCCATTCTTGGCACCTTTGACTCTAAATAGTCTGTGAATAAAAATGATGAGTTGATATTAGGAGGCTGTTGGATAGAGCCATTGAGGAGGAAAACCTTCGTTTTCAATGAAAAAAATTTTTGAATACTACCTGGTTAATATTTGAAAGACTATAAACTTTCCACTTTTCATCTATTTGGAAATACATTTTACTATCATCTAAGCATAGACAGACCTGGGCTTAATTTCAGCTGGACTTCATTTCTTCTTCTTCTTCTTTTTTTTTAAAAAAATACTTCTTTGTGTTTATTTATTTATTTTTATAAGCCAATATCGTTGAAAGTATTACATATATCCTTTTTTTCCGCCCCCATTGCCCTTACCCGCTCCCCATCTTCATTTCTTATGTCTGTGAATCTCATTTCTTTCTAATGTAAAGTGGGTAATAATACATTCACTATCTTAAAATACCACTTATACTCTGTGATCAAATTAGGAGTATGTCCTGAGTTCAAGTGTTGGATGGATTTGGGTAACTGGGGTTGAGGAAGAACTAACAATTACTAGGCCACTTAGGAAGGAGAGCCAATCATTATTTTGTACTATCTGATTTTCTCTTTGGTAGGTGTAAATCTAAAGATATAATGGAAGATCTAAAGATAGAAAGAAAATGTTTCATTATATTTGAACAAATGTGGTATTGAAACAAGGTATTGGAAAAATAATGCCTCAATTATTTCTTACCCAATGATGACAGCAAACTCTGGCCTGTTCTATTCTGACTGCACTATTGAGTGAATTCTCAAGTTCAAGTAAAACCAGCAACATCGGACTGAGCATGGAATTCCATGGCAACTGCAAAAGAGTTTTCCAGGTATTTGCATTTTTGTTCTTATGTTTTAATGATAAAATCGTGCGCTTTTCATATAGTCTCTTCTCAATGCAGTGAGAACATTTATTTGATCTGGTTGGATGACAGCCTACACCTGAAGGTTTGTGTTGTGATTTCTTACGATATAATAAAGTGATAGGTTTGGTGAGTATAGATGACAATTTAAGGTTACTTGTTTAATGCTAGTCTTTAAATAAAAAAACAAAAAGGAAATACTCTAAAGATTCTTAATTTATTTATTTTGATCTTATTGTGTTTAGATGTCAGTGCTTCAATTGGTAGAACCCTGATGGCCTTAAAAATAGGCCTGGCAGAATGCCCATGAGGGCCGTGTATTTAAAATGTTATTGCAGATGGTGTGGGCTCTTTGTCTTGTGTGTATTGTTTGGCTCTGAAGTAAAGTTATGTGAAGGCACTGGCTTAAATCCGAGGATCCTGCACTAGAGCAACTAACGCTCCAGCTCTGTCTAGTTGTCAGACTCACTGCTCCACAAAGTAGCCTTTCTGTCACAGTAAATGTATTCAAACTGGTGTCACCTAAAAGCTCACTGTGGTGAAAATATGAGCAGGCCTGAAAATGGAAAATGTTCCTAAAGAAATAGTGTTTTCCATTGGAAATGTTAAGGTTTTTGTTTGTTTTCTATTGTAGTTCTAAAAGGGAATGCATTTTGAATGACCTTATGACACAAAAATACTTGTAACCTATTTATTGCAGGAAGAAGACCTTCGTCAGATCTTCGTATTAACCGTGGAAGTTTTGCAGGAGTTCAGCAGGCGGGAAAACCTCAGTGCTCAGATGTCCTCAGTGTTTCAGCGCTACCTCTCACTCGCCAATCAGGTCTTGAGCTGGAACTTTCTTCCTCCAAATTATATCCTTTAACAACTGAATAAGATGACAGTTATGGCTGAAAGTACCTTATTTCTGTGGTTTGTAAAACATGTTGAAATGAAATAAGTGTTTTTTAGAAGTGGAATATAAGTTTATTTTATACTAGAGACCTGGTGCACGGATTCGTGCACCAGTGGGGTCCCTCAGCCTGGCCTGCACCCTCATGCAATCTGGGACCCCTCAGGGGATGTAGTAGTTCATGAAGTGGCAGGCGGCCGGGGAGGAGCCCAAGCCTGGGCCAGGCGCTGCACTGGTCCCGCTCATTCTGGCCCTGCGGCGCCTCCCTGCACCGCAGCTCAGTAGTGCTACCGCAGAGGCAGGAGAGGCTTGTGCTGCCAGAGAAGTGCTCTCTAGCCATGAGCCCAGCACCTGGTGACTGCCTGTCAGCTGAGCAACACTCCCGCTGTGGGAGTGCACTGACAACCAGGGGGCAGCTCCTGCATTGAGCGTCTGCCCCATGGTGGTCAGTGTGCGTCATAGCGACTGGTCAAATGGTCGAGTGGTCGACCAGTCACTTAGGTTGTATATCTAAATTGCAGGCCTGGTGCACAACATTTGTGCACTGGTGGCGGCAGGTGGGGGGGTCCCCTCAGACCGGCCTGCGCCCTCTCACAGTCCGGGACCCCTTGGAGGATGTCTGATTGCCAACTTAGGCCCGCTGAGCAGGCCTAAGCTGGCACTGGGACATCCCTAGCGCTGCCGTGGAGGGGTAGAGGCTCCTGCTGCTATGCTCGCCAGCCGTGAGCCCGGCTTTTGGCTGAGCGGTGCTCCCTCTGTTGGAGTGCACTGAACAAGAGGGGGCAGCTCCTACATTGAGTGTCTACCCCCTGATGGTCACTGCACATCATAGCCACCAGTCGTTCTGCCGTTTGGTCAATTTGCATAGTAGGGTGTTATTATATAGGATACATAAAAGCCAAGTGACCAGAATGACCGGTGGCTATGATGTGCACTGTGGCTGGCCAACTGGCCCGCCAATCGCCCCCCACCCCCCACCCCAATTGGGGGTAGGGCTGGCCAGCCAACCTCCCGTGGCCCCTCCCCCATGCACAAATTAGTGTACCAGGCCTCTATTATATAGATAATACACAGTACACTGGACTACTCAGAGGATTTAAAAATTACATTTACAGTTTTGTAGAAGATTGACTAAATGGAAAACTGGGTAGATGTTGGGACTCTTGCTTCCTAAAGGAAGGGCAGTAACTTTTAGGCAGGAAAAGGAGAAAATGGGAAGTGTATTTCTATTAAGCAACTGAATCGTATCTTCTTGTAGAATGTAATGACTTGAATATTTTGACTGTCTTTCCTTAAGTCTCTAACTTGACTTTAAAAAAATCCTCACCTGAGGGTATGTTTGCAGAGATGGGGGGAGTGAGGGACAGAAGGGGGGAAGGGAGGGAAGAGAGAGAGAGAAACATTGATCCATTGCCTTCCATAGGCACCCTGACTGGTGATTGAACTGAAACCTAGGTATGTGCCCTGACAGGGAATTGAACTGGCCACTTTTCAGTGTAGGGGACAACTCTCCAATCAACTGAGTCACCTGGCTAAGACTTTTTAAAAATATATATATATTTTATTGATTTTTTAGAGAGGAAGGGAGAGAGATAGAGAGCTAGAAACATCGATGAGAGAGAAACATCGATCCTCCTACTGGGGATGTGCCCGCAACCAAGGTACATGCTCCTGACCGGAATCGAACCTGGGACCCTTCAGTCCGCAGGCTGACGCTCCATTCATTGAGCCAAACTGGTTACGGCACCTGGCTAAGACTCTTAACTTGATTTTTATGGTGGCAATATTGTTCAAGGGTAAATAATAAGGTCATTATGTTTATTCTTCAAAGATGTTTTTTTTTTATATATATATTTTATTGATTTTTTACAGAGAGGAAAGGAGAGAGATAGAGAGTTAGAAACATCGATGAGAGAGAAACATCGATCAGCTGCCTCCTGCACATCTCCTACTGGGGATGTGCCCGCAACCCAGGTACATGCTCTTGACCGGAATCGAACCTGGGACCCTTCAGTCCGCAGGCCGACGCTCCATCCACCGAGCCAAACCGGTTTTGGCTCAAAGATGTTTTTAAGAGAAAATATGGAAATTTTGTTTCTAGCAAATTATTAGTTATACAAAAGCAATTTAAGTGGGTTAGATTACAGCTTTAAACATCTACTTTTTTGCCTGGCTGGTATGGCTCGGTGGTTGAGCATTGACCTATGAACCAGGAGGTCATGGTTCAATTGCCGGTCTGGTCACTTGGCCAGGTTGCGGGTTCAATCCCCAATGTAGGGTGTGCAGGAGGCAGCCTATCAATGATTCTTTCTCATCATTGATGTTTCTCTCTCTCTCTCTCTCTCTCTCTCTCTCTCTCTCTCTCTCTCTCTCCCTTCCTTCCTCTCTAAAATCAAAAAGATATATTTTAAAAAATATATCTACTTTTTAAATCAGTTACTGATGTGGGAAGTTTGTATTTTGGAGAGCATCTCCTTAGTTTAAAGTTTACAATTTGCTATTCTGGAACATTTGCTGCCCATTGATAGATTGAAGTCTGTGCTACACAGTGGCTCTCATTTGTGTTACGTTGAGTCAGACATATCTAAGATCACTCTCAGCTGAACAAAGGTAAATTACTTAACCTCCCTGAGACTCAGTTTTTCCAAAAGTAAAATGGGGATAAGGAATGTTAAGTGGATTAAATGAAACAATACATTTACAACACTCAGGACTTAGCCAGTATTTGTTGTATTAGTCTCCTTGAATAAAGAAGTTCATCAGTTAGCTACCTGCAAATGCTCTTCCTTCTTAAATCTGACATATTACCTATGGTATAGGAAATTACCGTTAGTTTAATTTAATCTCTTCTAGATGTCTTTAATCAATCCTCTCCCAAAGGCAATTATGGTGAGTTGTTCTGTGGGGCAGTTTACTGGAGGTTTATCACTTCCTCCTTTTATCCCTAATCTCTAATCATCTTTCTCCTAAAAAAAACAAGCCTATATAATAAAAGAGAAACATGCAAATTAACCATCCCTCTGCCACACCACCAGCCACGCCCACCAGCCAATGAGGAGCAAACATGCAAATTAACCCAACAAAGATGGAGGGTAATTTGCATACGCACAGCAGGAGAGCCAGAGGGTTGGGGAAACGTAGCTCCCTTTGTCGGGGAAAACCCAGAGCATGGGGAGCACCAGGAATTCTGGGAATAGTAGTTTTGGTGGCAGCCCCAGGACCTGAAGTGGAAGCCCAGAGCAAGAGAAGCACAAGGAATGCTGAGAACTGTAGTTCTGATGGCAGCCTCAGGACCAGAAGCAGAAGCCCCGAGGGCAGGGAGCACCAGGAATGCTGGGAATCATAGTTCTGGTGGCAGACGGATCTCCTAGACAATAGAGCAAAGTGAGCCTGGAGCAAGTTACTGTTGTGGTTGGGGATGGAGGGAAAGCAAAGGTGAGAGACATAAGTAAAATCAGAGTGTTTAGGAAAAATTAAAGGGAAGCTATCCTAAAACTTCCAGGAAATCTTCACCAATGGAGCAAAGAAAAAAAAAATTCTCTATTATTCTGTGAGTAACAAACCATACCGGGTTGGGGGGGGGTCTCAGACAATTTGCTCATATGATTGCAAAGACAGACAGAAACTCCCGGATTGGAGAGGGCTCCCCTGAGGGCTCCCAGATTGGAGAGACTGCAGGTCGGGCTGAGGGACCTCCACCCCCACCCCCCATGCAGCACCCCACCCCCCCCACCAGTGCACGAATCTTCATGCACCGGGCCCCTAGTGTTATATATTTATTATTTATGTTTTTGGATTGTTAAGAAGCACATATTTTCTTAGGTGTGCTTTAAATTTTTTCCCTGAGGGTGTTACAGTATAATTTTTGCTTAGGTGTTTTTTTAATTATACATATACTAGTGACCCGGTGCACGAAATTTGTGCACATTAAAAGGGAATTAATTAGAGGAAATATTTTTTCTTTTCTTTTTTTTTTTTAAAATATATTTTATTGATTTTTTACAGAGAGGAAGGGCGAGAGATAGAGAGTTAGGAACATCGATGAGAGAGAAACATCGATCAGCTGCCTCCTGCACATCTCCTACTGGGGATATGCCTGCAACCCAGGTACATGCCCTTGACCGGAATCGAACCTGGGACCTTTCAGTCCGCAGGCCGACGCTCTATCCACTGAGCCAAACCGGTTTTGGCTAGAGGAAATATTTTAATATTGCTATTTGCCCTTTCTCTATATTAGAAGTGTCAGAGATAAAAGAAAATTAGTAAAATGTACATGAAAATCTTCCTCCTGTCAGAATCTGAGGCATGCTACGGGAACCAGAGTCAAGTCCCCACCCACCCACGTGTGCCTCGAAATCGCGTGAGACCCAGACCCGGCCAGGCCCACCCCCATTGGACTAGATCCAGACCCAGCCGACCCCACCCCCGTCAAGACCCTCCGGGTGGGAGGCACAGCCTGAGGTCGCCGGGCCTGGTGCTGGGTGGGGGGCACGGCCTGAGGTCCCCCATCAAGTGCCGCCAGGCTGGGGGCGCAGCCTCAAGTCCCCCAGGGCGGGGCACGTGGCCAGTGGTCCCCTGGCCCAGGCCGGGGCATGGGGTGCACCTTGAGGTTCCCCGTCAAGCCCCATGGGCAGGGGGCACGGCCTGAGGTCCCCTGTCAAGCCCTGCCGGGAGGGGGGCACAGCCTGAGGTTCCCCCAGCCTGGCGCCTGGGTAGGGAGTGCGGCCTGATGTCCCCTGTCAAGCCCCACCGAGGGGGAGGGGGGCGCAGCATCAGGTTCCCTGCCCCGGCCCAGCACCATGAAGCCTCAGGTCCCTGCTGATTGCTCATTAAGGGTCGTTAGGGGAACTTGGCTTCCACTGAGGGTGCAGCCATCTTGTGTTACGGAATATATCCCACATTCAAAGGCTGTTAAATCGCATTGTTTACCCATATCTTCAGAAAAAAATTCACTTCTACTGT